ACTTTATATTTCATTTGTATTTTGTGGCATTTATGTGGACGGCAAAGTAAGAATTTCATTGTACAGGGAAACACGTTTCCTAACTATGCATATGAGAAATGACCTTTGGTCAGGTACTTGTCATTTTACTGTGTAGTAATGCCCAGCTCTCTCCTTTATGCTCACTGAGCTCAAAGTGATCAAAACAGCTTTTGTGCTAACAGGATGTAATGTTGTGCATTACGTACTCTTATGTTATGTAATGTAACTGCCTGCCACATGGTGGTGAGGATAATTACACTTGTGTAGGAATATCCCACACCCAAGCAAAGCTACAAGAAGGTACTGTAAGTTGCATTACAATCTTCAAGAAAATGATACTACAGTTAAGCTTTAATTGATAAAACTCACTGCCACATCACACATCAAATATTGTGCAGACAACCTGTCATTTACATATACTACAGTACACTATACTATAGTTTACTCATAATGTACAGTAACACCATTATAAGAAATGAGTATTTCTACTTATGCAGCATGGTGGAAAAAAACTATATGAAACATGGTGTTCTATAAATCACTATCAGACTGACAGTTGCTATTCCCCTGGTAAGTATTAATAACAGTAATTCAGTATTTACTTTGAACATCAGCAAATGCCAGTCATACTAATGATTTTCAATGATCTGTCAGGTGACATTTGCTCTTGAGAACAAAGAACAAGTGCTGGTTTCTGTATCTAAAATTATCAGGTGAAAAAAAGCAGACAAACAAGACTGAGGAACGTCAGAAGCCTTCTCACATTCCTGAGTGTGAGAAGGCTCTAAGAAAATGTGGCAAGACGCACGCACGGCAGAACGGCAACACGACAGGTGACTATCTAAACACTGTTTGCCATGATAGCAACCCACTGTAAAATATAAAATATGACACATTAATGTAGTTAAATGCTTCTATTAGATCATCAGTCCAAACTGTGAATAATTGTGCTGATCTACAGAAATCAAGTTTACCGACCATTTATCAAAAACCATTTTTCAATGTATTGTTGTTTATTTTAATTACTAGAGAGGATAGTGCATGACAAGAGTGGTAACACTACTGCAGCTAGTCTAAAATGTATTTGGAACATGGCACCAACACGGAAACACTCCATAATGGAAGTACAGGGGTTAAATCAAGATTTTTACTGGAACAACTGAACACCCTGGTGTGGTCGGAAGGACAGAAACACTGTAAAATGCTAAGGTTTTCAAAGATTTACAGTGTGAACAGTCAGCAATCAAGATAGACTGGTTGATTCTGTGATCAACCGTGTGGTGACCTGGTATGCTGAGAGAACAGGTGCCTGGTCCCCTCCCTTACCCACATCACTTGTTTGGTTGCTTTCATTCCTATCCAAAGCATGTAACGCTGTGTGGTTTCAACACACACACACACACACACACACACACACCAACATACTGCATTAGTGCTGAAGTGCTCTTGCTCCTTGTCAGCACATACAGAGGCAAAGTAATGTTTGCAATTTCCTGGTTTTCTGCATAAAGTGGTAATGAAGTGTGATCTGATCTTCACCAGAGTCACAAATATCAACATACACAATATTTCTAAGCTGGTGAAACACAGTCATGATCTTTCAGAAATCAGAATCAGCTTTATTGGCCAGGTGTGTTGGACACGAGGAATTTGAGTCTAGTACAGTGGTTCTCAATGTGTACATACATGTCAGCGAGCAAGGGATTGTGCATTAGGAAAAGAGATTTTAAAAAAGTAAGGGTAAAGTACTTATAGAGGCCTGTACATTCATACATACACAAACACACACATATATACAGTGAGGAACAGAAGTATTTGAACACCCTGCGATTTTGCAAGTTCTCCCACTTAGAAATCATGGAGGGGTCTGAAATTCACATTGTAGGTGCATTCCCACTCTGAGAGACAGAATTAAAAAAAAAAATTCAGGAAATCACATTGTATGATTTTTAAAGAATTTATTTGTCTTGCACTGCTGAACATAAGTATTTGAACACCTGAGAAACAGCAAGAATTCTGGCTCTCAAAGACCTGTTACTGTGCCTTGAAAAAGTCCACCTCTACTCCACTCATTAATCTAAATTAGTAGCACCTGTCTGAACTCTTTAAAGACACCTGTCCACCCCACAGTCAGTCAGACGCCAACTACTACCATGGGCAAGACCAAAGAGCTGTCAAAAGACACCAGAGACAAAATTGTGAACCTCCACAAGGCTGGAAAGGGCTACAGGGCAATTGCCAAGCAGCT